AGCCTCTTTCCTCTGCCCTCTGTTTTCTGAAGAAAGCAGCACAACATCCTAGAAATTTCAGAACAGCTGCTTGCCAAGTGCCATCAAGCACCACGCGGGTCTTCTAGCTGGGCCTTGAATTTCAAAGTGGGCCCCTTGTCTTTCACACTCATGTCTAGCGAGTTCCTTTCAAGGGGTCATCTAACCCCAAAAAAGCACGGTCTGCTCCGCTCTCCCAGCTGGGAGACAGGTCTCCAGACGCAGCTTTGTTTACGCGGCTGACGGAGGGTACCCTGCAGGTTTGTTTGTGGATCTTTCAGCTAATTATCTTGCCACAGACCATTGAGACAGCTCTGGATAACTGTTCACTTAATAGTTCCAAAGGAGTAATTAGGGACAATACCTGCTTGCAGCCGTCCCCACCCACCCACCCACCCACCGCTGGTGCTGATGCATTAGGATAAACACTTATTTCTGAATGTGATTAATCGCATAAATAATACTCAGAAATGAAATTAGAGGACACCCACGCATCACACCCAGCCTGGTTGTGAGGCGTGACATCCTGCGTCTCTGTACTGAATTAGCATTACGGTCTGGTTTGAATTTTTCAATTTTCAGCGTACATCCTGTTCTGTTAGCAAGTGACCCTGTGGCCCTTATCCATTTCTGTAACAATTTGAATTGGCCATTCTAAAAAGAACACAGATTTGGGCATGTCTACACCTGGACAAAGAAGTATTAGATGCTAGACTGTGGCCTGTCACACTTCATGGCAAAGCCAGACACTATGCCCAGGTTTCTAGACCCCTGTGTCCCCTGCATGGATGCCTTATTTTATAGCACCAATTAAAACTAAACGCTCAGTCATTCCACGGAAGCACGGAAGTCACAGAACTGCCCCCTTGTTTTCATTTATAAGGAAATCTCTGAACAACTGCAGCTTGACCTAGAAAAACAACTTCAGTTAGGACTAACTTATACAGATTTCCTTTACATTTAGGGATCCTAAATGTTAGTGAAGGGGAAGGCAGGAGGGACCATGATCAGAAGAACCACAACTCACAAGTAGTTTTTAAGTCATTTTTTCTCTCTCCGATGTTCAAGTCAGTTATCTCAGGCAAGATCCTGCAGTTTTAGAGGACGAATCCTCAGACATCATTTTACAGATAAGGAGACAAGGGCCCAGAGAAGTGAAGTGATTTATTTAAGATCATAGAATTGATTTGTGCTAGGTGAAAGCATTCTAGAAAGGAAACAGAATTCTGGTGAAGTTCTTATTCTGTTTGGCATTTTTAAGTCTAAAATTGAGATTCAAGGAATTGTAAAAAAACAAATGTAAAATCAAATATTTAAAACCCCAGTTGTATGGCATTTGTTAGATTTCATTGTAAATTTTAAGATATTATTATGAGAAATGTCCTCTGTGTTCATCTAGTCAAAAACTATAGGAGTAAAGATAAATTTTTCAGTTTTGCACCAATAAAATAGGAAATTTTACCTATTCTACTTTTATACCTATTCTATTTTGTTCATCTTTAGAATGTTTACTTGAAACCTATACTAAAGCTTACCTCAGTGTATCTCTTTCCCCTGAAATTATTTTCATCTCCCAAATGGAAACCATGTTCCTTCTATATGTTTCTTTGGTCATACGTTCTTCAACACCGCACCAGGCTAGACATTTCAGATGTTTTTAGTAAACAATCTGTGCATTCCCTTTGGCCCAGGAATTCCACTCCCGAGAGTTCACAAAAGGAACAGGTTAGAGATATTCCCATCAGGTTCGCAGCAAAGCTATTCATTGGAGCATTATTTTATTATCCAAAATTTGGGGGAAAAAATATCAAAATCGAATTGTATAAATCATGATTGATTTATAGATAGTAAAAATTAAAATAAAATTTTAAAATAATTCAAAATAATTCTGTAGAAGAATAGATCATAAGTTTTTTTCAGCGTGTACTTAATTGGAAGTAAAAGTTTATGAAACAGCATTTGCAATGATTTAATGTTTCTAGAAATGCACGGAAGTGCTGTGTGCTGATAGTTGAACCCAGTTATGTGTGGGTAGTGTGATCTCTAGTGACTTTAAGTCTTGTTGGAGTATTTTTTTTCTATGATGTGTAGTGGTAAATCAAGGGAATATTTTTAGGGATATGTAATTCAGAAAATAAGTTTGTACTGTGTCAACAGAGGAAGCTTCACTGTCCAACATTTTTGTACTATTTTGACGACCTCTGTGATGAGTTCACAAAGGACAGGATAAACACTTATCAATAACCGTGCAACCTTTTCACCTAAGACAGAATTACTAACTTGGTAACTTTGACTTATTAGCAGAATACTGAAGTTGTTGGTAATGTTATAGTTTAAGATTAAAATAAAATTATAGTTTAAGATTAAAATAAAAACAGAATCACATTCACAAAGTTCGAATGGGTTATACACATTTTAAGAACTAATTTCTATAGTGAGGAGAACTAACTTTGGAGGGAGATGTTTGGATCTCATTTTAAATCTCGAATCTGCCATTTTTTAGCTTCAGAGGTTTGGGCAAGAGGTAAGGAAATGATTAAGTTGCACATTAAATGAGATCATGTATGTAAATCACCTATTAACAGCGGGATATACAGTTAAGAGCCTAATAAAATACAACTTTCTCAAGCATCGTCATCAACATTCTCATCAATGATGCTCCTTTTTATCTTTTTATTGGGTAAATTTGACATTTATGTAAATTTAAGGCATAGAGCATGTTACTTTAATACATTTATATATTGTAATATAGTTGCTGTTATAATGACATTATATTATATTACATACTTATTTAAGTACCATCAATCTTATGTCCCCACCCCCCCATTCCCTGATAACCACCGTTTTATTGTTTATTTTTTTAGCTGACTTTTTAAGATTCCACACATAAGTGATGTTATACAGTACCTACTATCTTTCTCTGTCTGACTTATCTCAGCGTAATGTGCTCAAGGTTCACCCATGCTGTCACAAGTGGCAGGATGTCCTCCTGTCCCATGGCAGAATAGTATTCCATCATGTACATATATCCACATCTTTTTTATCCATTCATCCACTGACAGACATTTGGGTTGTTTCCGTAGCGTGGCTTTTGCGAATAATGCAGCAATTTACATAGAAGTCACATTCATCTCATTAAACTCCTGTTTTCACTCCCTTTGGGTGTGTTCCCGGAAGTGGAATTGCTGTGTCATGTGGTCGATCCATGTTTCATTTTGTGAGGGATTTCCATGTTGTTTTCCATAGTGGTTGGGCTAATCTGCATTCCTACCCACAGTGTATGAGCATTCCCTTTTTACCACATCCTCACCAGCACTGGCTATCTCTCGTCTTCTTGATGACAATCAGCATTCCTCTTTAATGGTCACCTATAGCACAATGTCTTTGTGTGTCGGGTTGTAAATTAGTGCTGGTTCCCAGGGCTGTACTTGCCAGCTGGACCCACGGCCCAGGTGGGCCTTGGAAGGTGGAGCCTTGGAAAAACTCGGTGGTGCTGCTTGACTCCGAGAAAGGCGAGGGCGGCTGTGCCCTAAGGAGCCCAGATGTGAAGTAACTGAAACCAGAGTGGGGGTTATAAACAGTGCGCATGTTGGCATTTTCCCACAAACAGGCGTGACCATAAATTACAGTGTCCTTCTCCCTAGAAACACTTAGTATATTTCCATTGACGATGATAATTTTTAGTTCCAGCAAAGACATATTATTTTGCCCTTTAGCTGTTTCAGTTTTAACATCTTTTGGACAGTAAAGATAATTCAGTTCCACTCACATCATGGGAATTAATCAGCTAATAAATATAAAGCATTCTGACCACACAATGTTATAGAGACAGTACATAATATTATTAGTAGACAGAATGCAATGACCGTAATTGGTATTTTTCCAGAAGGTAGAGCTAATACTCGTTCCTACCTGATGTGAGAGCCCTTTTAAAGCCATTAATCATTGACAGTGGAATGTAATTCGCAAATCTAGAAAGGTGCCAAATGCCACTATATCTACACTGATATGTAACATTTTGCACATTAAAATTCGTTAGACAGAAGTAAATTTTCTTTAATATTTATTGTTTGATTTACTCCAAAATAGCAGGCACTCTGATAAATGGAGTAAATGGGTAGTTTCTAGTGTCACCATGGCTGTGAAATGCATTTTAGTGCTTTCTGCTGCTGTAACTTAATAATTCATTTCAGCACTTCTGTTTGTAAATCACAGAAGGTTTGTTTGATGGACATAGTGCTGGGGGGAAATGCATGCCTTTTGTCAATGCAAATAACCTGTGTTTTAGGACCCGTGTCTATGTGTGCAGTTACTTGTATAGGCTTGAGATTGTCCACACCCTCTGAGGATAGATTCAGTTTTCAGAGCATGACTTCTGTTAATTCTCAAACACAAAAAGTCATCTATGGGAAGTCTCCACTTAATAAATTCTTAGCATATTAAAGTGATGGATCTTTTAGGTTTTTATTTATTTTTTTAAGGGCTTGGAAGTCTAGCACCAAATTCGAAGTGTACTTCTAAGAACTGTGTAGAATTTTATAGCCATATGTTTTTGAGCAAATTAATAAGTAAAATGAAGTGATATCATTATTAACTTCTAGAGAACAGAACATGTCAGCGGCTATATATTAAGAAGGCTTGTTTTTTATGACTGTTCCTTTTGGCCTAGTTGTATTTGGACCCGTATGGAGTCTTTTAGACATAACTGTGCATAAGGCATAAACCGTGCCTTTGAGAAGCCCTCAATCCTATGGGGACAGGTATGGCCAAGGGACTGTCACCTGGGAGGTACCGATAGTGCCGAAATGGAGATATAAGCAGAGTGCTTTGAGCGTGTGTAAGTCCAGCTGTGGCGGTAATGACATAATTCAGTGTGTTACTAAATTTAATTCAGAAGTTAATCTAAAATATTCGGCGAATATATTTTTCTTATTCTCTGACCATCACCCTGGTGTTCATTATTTATGCATTTCCCATTTCAGAGACGCCCAAGCAGATGGCCTGCAATGAAGTTCCGAAGAGGTTCTGGCCATCCTGCCTATGCTGAAGTCGAACCCGTGGGAGAGAAAGAAGGTTTTATCGTCTCGGAGCAGTGCTAAAATTCCCGGGGCACAACAGCGCCAGTGCTGGCTTACAGGTGTTCAGACTAAAATTTGCCTATACCTTTAAGAAACACACACACACACACACACACACACAGACACACACACACACACACACAGGAGCCCTGAGCTGCTGTAGCTGGAAGGAGATGAGATTTCTGGACAAGCCCAGCCCAGGAAGGGTAAAAGAAAAACTAAAACTCATACAGGATATGATACCATTCCCTACTGAACATAGAATTCCCTCGTGGAATGAGCTCTGTAGTTCACTCAGCAAATCTCCTGTGGACTGGTCAGCAATCCGACAAGATTTCAGTGCTGTTGGCTTAAGGTGCGGGGTTGCAAAGGGATCGAGAAAAATAATAATACTAAAGCTTTCGTTCATGAGGGATCTACACCTTTGGTTCAGATATTCTTCTCCGGTAACTGTGTTCCAAAGCCTGAGCCCATCCACTCAAAAGAGCAACGATGAATATGCCAAGATTTCTGAGAGGAGTAGCTGACGCAGGAGCAAAAACAATCACAGAATCAGATTTTCTATCTTTTCACCAGGCACGTGGCTAAAGGATTTTGTTTTTCGGGTCTAGATCCACCTGTTCCAACAAGGTGGATGCACCTTCTGTCTGTCCCGGGGGTTCAGACTCCGCCTCCCTCTTCCTCGCTACTGAGCTTGCCCTCCTCAAGCAGTGGGAGGGAGTGGCCAATGAGGCTTTAATTCTCCTGCCTCAGAACAAAAAGTCTGATGTGTTTTGAGAAGCATGGCCTCCACTTCCCAACTGTGAAGTCCTACGAAGCCACAGTTGCTCTTGGCTGAAGGAAACCAGAGTTCCTTAATTGTTTATGAAGCAAAAATGTTAAGGGATTCTAAACACATGGGTTGTTTTTGTTTTTACTTTTTACCGTTTCAGTACAAAAGGCCCATCTCATTGTAGATTCCTGTCTAAGAAGCCATTCAAGTCAGCATATCCCTGGCGATAAAAAGAACGAAAGAACCCTGCTGAATCATACAGTAATTTTCTTTAAAGCACATAGTAGTTACATAAATATATATATAAATATATTTTTGTTTATAACTAACACAAGGCAGGCTCTTGTGACTCTCAGTGCATTTTGTCATCCAGACAGAACAAATGTGAGGTGCGTTACTGCATACTTCCACAGAGTTGTAAGATAATCCTTCATATTAGAATATTTTTATGTCACTTAGCAAAAGTGGTTCAGTGAGTGGCAGTACTGATCATTTTCCTGCCTCTTTGAGCCGCTCTCCCGTTCATATCAAGCCCTTCCCTCCCTGGCGAAATAAAGCAGATGCAAAAATCTCCTTCGATGGATCTGTTGTCCGCCCTGTAATCACAATCCGGATTTTGAAACTCCCCCATGAGTGAAGACAGGAAAGGCATCCTTTGAGGAGGAAAGTGGTTAATACATACACTGAGCTCCTAAAGTTTAAATTCAGGTACTGTGTGTACAATTTTATCAACATCTCGACCCATGAAACTTTTACCCTGTGCCAAGAAGCTGTTGGTACCGTGTCTTGAGTGGTACCGTGTCCAACATTTGCAGATTCAGGTATCCAGGAGCAGAGATGTCTCATAAGCAGCACTTTACAGCTTAGCATCTGTACACGGTGTCTCCATCAAATGACATCAGTCCACTAGCAGAAGATCGTGTTTTACTGTCACAGTTGTCTGACGTAAACTCTTGATATTTTCCATCAAGTGTATTTTGCTTTCCATTTTTAAGTAACTGATGAGAGTGATAACTGTTTCCTAATGTGCTTAGATAATAATTGCAAAAAAAATTGACAAGCAAGGTGATTGAAGGACGTGATGACAATCTCTCTGCTATAGTGACATTCATTTTATATGAAATAACCCAACTTATTTCTTGTGGAGTAAGCTTGGTCAGATAGCGGTAACCAAATGACTTGCCAATGTAACCGGTGCAATCGGTATTCTGCAAAGACACAGGGAACACGTGGACGATTCCTTCTAGGATAAGATGATGCTTCTTCCACTTGCTTCTGTCTGAGGCGTGGCTTCCAATAGCAGTTGACTGACAGTTATATAAATCCTGAATATATATATACATATATATATATATATATCCAACTCTGTATGCAGTTCTTTGAACTAGTGATGTTATCTTTATAGTCCTTTCAAAGCTCCTCTTCCTTTTTTGATTACAAAAAAAAAAATTGACCATTCTGTAAAATCACATTGAACTCTCTGCATTGCTCATTGAACTAGAGCACCCTGAAGTAGGGAAAACATCTTGTAAGTAAAAAGTGCTGAAGTGTAGGAAAGCTTCCTAACCAAAGCAGGAGTTAAAGTTGGTAAGACGTTTCTGTTGCTTATGAATCTTTCAGCAGTGAGGAAAGAGGCTGGCTGAATCCCGTTTTTCACTTTCATGAAACTTTAATTCTACTTGATACTTCTGGTTTGTTCTTGCTGCCCGTTTACTGCAAAGGGACAGCAAACACACACTAGGTTTCTGGAAATTCAGAATAGACTCTGATGCTTTGGACTTTACATACATTACGTATTAGAAGGGGTGCATCTGCACGTTACATAACATACTATGAATAGAGTTGAGAGAGAATAACAATAATTTTAAAAATTAAGAATAGCAATGGAACACATACCAGTGTCTGGAGAAGTCAGCTAAATGGTGCTATGGAGGAAGTTATTTCATCTTAATTATTTGGAAAAACATTCAGTGAATAAGTAAAAGTACCAAAAGTCAAGAAAAATACCTTAAGCCAACCAGATGGCACTGACCACAATGTTGGTTTGGTTATAAAAAATTTGGACTTGAAGATACACCAATTGAGAACTAAAAATAAATAATAAAGTACAGTTTACCCCCCAATTATTATTTTTGTTTGTGATACCTGGGGCAGTTGCTAATCTCTCTCCCAGGGAGCTTCTAGAGCTGTGCTGTCCAATATTGTATCTACTATCCAAATGTAGCTATTTAAATTAGTGTAAATTAAATAAAAATAAAAATTCAGTTCTTCAGCGAAATTTCGAGTGCTTGCTAGTCACGTGTGGCTTGTGGCTACCATATTGGACAACACAGAACATTCGTGTCATCGCAGAAAATTCTAACTACACACTGCTGTAGAGGCCTTTTCTTTTAACGTCCCCTCCTTGATGGAAACGAGGAGGGGGAAGAAGACGTTTGGTGGTTCTGGGGCATTGCTAAGTGTTTTTGATTCAGAGGCAATGTGGAGTAATGGATAGGATGGAAAGACAGCTTTGAGGCTCAACTGTGTTATCTTGGGAAAATCACTTTAACCTCCATGAGTCTCAGTTCACAAGTTGGGAAAAGAAAAATATTTTTTTTTGTCCTGTCTTCCTTGCAAAATTATTATTCTGCAGATTGACTAGATGCATAGATACACAGACTTTTAAAACCTCTTGTCAATATGACCCAGGTAAAGCACGTCTGTTGGTCTAGCACCAACACAAATTTGCATTTTGAGGGAAAAAAATCCATCATTCCTGAAAACATTCAAAGACAATCCAGTCAATACGGCTCTTGAGAAAATGCCAAAGGAGAATACACTCCAACCACACAGCAGAATTGCTTACATTCCTTTTTTTCTGTCTTAATATTGTCTCTTAATATTTCCTTTATGTGACATCTTTCCCAACTGTCTCTCCTCTCCTAGGACCAAGTCCCTTGTGTGCCTCCTCCATCTGGCTCAGTATTTTATTATATAGAGTCCCTGAGCCTCTCTGGTTTCTTCTGATTTCCCACTTTACTCTTTACAACAAAGGGAAGCCCAAGAGCTGACCAGCAGGCTTCTCTCTGGAAGAAAGTACCTCAAACAAATAATGTCAAATATTTATTTTATCCCTGGAACACAAATGTGTAAAGGGTTATCACATTAAAATACAAACATATATGGAACTTAATTTTAAACGTAAAATTTTGCAAAAGCAGACTATAAGAGAGGAGTAAAAGTATTTTATAACTTGCTGATACGCAGATAATATATATTCTCTAATAAGTATAATTTATTCATTTTGGCAAAAAAAATTGTTATGTTATTTGCTCATTCTGGGGAAGTATAAATTCGGTAATGCCCTTGGTGTCTATTGTCCAGGGCAATAAGAAGGAGTTTGGCTGGAACCCATGTTTTGATTCAAGACACTTCCATGATAAGAAATTAATATGTAAGTAAGGCTACCTGAAAAATATATGCTATGGTCATGACTTCTTCCTCCTGTGAAATGTTATTTTGCATTGTATTTCTTCAGGCATATTTCAGATATTTTATTATGATGTGTCTTATTAACTTCCAAAGATTGCTCTTGCTTTACTTCCCCAGCCCCTCAGCTTTTGGCATCAGCATCCAGATGCCAGAACCATGGGAGGTCATCTAATCTGACCTCTTCCTTTACAGATCAGAGAACTGAGGCCCAAAGAGATATAGGAATTTTCCCAGTGTCAGAACTGTGTCTTGGCTGGTCATTTGTGATCCAGTTCTTTTTGCCTAAACCCCTCCATCAGCATTTAAGGCTGACCAAGCAGCTTAGAAGGCCCAGTCCATCCCAAAGCATTTGCTGTATGGACTCTCTGCTCTGTCCTGTAATTGGTCCTGTTCTCTAAAACATTGGACCAATCTTCCTTTATCATGTGGCTGTCTTAAGGATGGTGCCGTTTTTATAACAAGCAGTGATTTCAGGTTCTGGCCAGGGTCTGTTCTAGAGTCTTTTTTGGAGTAGCACGTCCCTTTCCCCAACCCCTCCCTGTGGCCACCAATTTCTGCGGCCATACAATTTATCTTGTGCTGTCTAAAATTGTTCTGCCTTTGTTTCATTTCTTCCCAAATGTTCCTGAAAATGAATAATCTTCATAGCAGATTTGCTCGCCAATTTATCACAATTCCTATTTGCTTTTAAACTATTTGAACCTAAGATTTTCTGAGCAAATATTATGAGGTCTGTGGCATTGCATCTTACATACTATTTCCTTGTGTTTGTAAAGCACTTTACATTTTACAGAGCACTTTGACTTATTTCTTTATTTGTTCATTCATTCAGCCACCCAATTCACTTAAATATTTATTGGGCATCTTCTGGAACCAGGTTCCTGTGCTAGATCTTGCGATATACAGTGATAAATACAAACAGTGGGCGATCAGGCATGTCCACTGATAATTGTAATATGGTGAAAGCCTCAAACATAACTTTGTGGGTTGATCGGATCAACATTACTCTCTCGAATTTCCATTTCCAGTTTCTGTTCTACTTAGATAGGGAGCTATCAAGTATTTGCCTAAGGAATGTTTCTGAAATATGATATGTCATTGTGCATCTCTGCTGTTTGCTCTCTTTCAAATGATCTGTTAATTCCATTTCTGTGACTAAAAGTTACGTATCCAATGTTGTTTCACATCCAGGAGGAGTTTCCAATTCACTTGAATTCTTCCTGACCAGTTGATGTAACAGTTCATCATCTTATTCTAATATTTCTGTCATGTCTTTGTGAATTATCAACACCATCATTTCAAGGTCTTCCAGAAGCACCAGTGGATCAAAGAAGCATTTGCACTTTAGGTGTGTGTGGTTGTTTGTCATTTATTATATTTTCTCAGGTTTTCTCAGCCTCAGCATTATTGACATTTTGGGCCCCATGGTTGAGGGTGGGGGGTGGGAGTGGTCCTTGCACTGTAGAGCGTTTGGCAGCTTCCAGGGCTTCCATTGACTATATGCCAGTAGCTCATACACACACACACACACACACAGACACACACACCCCGGTTGTGACAACTAAAGTTGTCTCCAGACATTGCCGCATGTCCCCTGGGGTAAGATGGGGAAAACTACTAGATTCCCTAGTGAACAAAACATATCAGGAGGAGAAAAGAAACGTTTCTCTTTCTCTTGTCACTTAATCTTCGACATGTATAGGTTTTTATTTATAATAAGTCTTGGCATCATGAACTCATTGAATTAGAAGGGACAATTAAAGCCACCAGTTCAACCACAACCCAGCATCATCCATATCTAGTTCTCATCTCTCGGCTTTACAAACGAATTGAGAGAACATCAGAGGGAACTGACGTGGGAGTTGACTCTCTCATAGTGAGAGAGAAGGCTCTTCGGTGTTTATGTTCTGCCCCTGAAATAGCTGCTGCAGTGACTTTGGCTTCAGCTGGGGACGTGGTGTCACACAACTTCAGCATCTCAGAGACTTCGAGGAGTTTTCTTTGATTATTTTGTCTCCAAATCTTGCTCCAGCATCTTTGCTTTCAAGTTGTGCATAGAAGTTGAAGTTCAGTGTATCTAATTTTAAGTCTATCAGGTTGAGCTTCCGACTTTTTTTTTTTTAATTCTCCCTCTGACTTTTTTTTTTTAATTCTCCCTCTTCGGGGGAAAAAAAATAAAATTGACTCTTCCAAGTAACTGAAAGTCGGAAATGTCAGAGTTGGAATGTCTGAATCTGTCAAGCCAAAGTTCCTGCTGATTTGATGTGCCTTATGTCAGTTTTCCTGTGGGGTCAGTGATTTCTTGTAAATAACCCTGTGTTTGTTCTTGTGTTTATTCTGCACCAATTAGAAAGCTTGATGAAGTTCTAAAAGACAACCCTTTAAGAATATTCCCAGAAACAACACCAACGAGAAAAAACCCTGCCAACTGGAATATCAGGCCTCCCTCTATTCTTTTGCTAAAAGACCAACCCAGACTTTGGAAACATTCTTAATTATTTACTACAAGTTGCTAATATGGATGCACAATTGAAAGCCTTGATTGTGAAGTCCAAGGCTATAGAATATTGACAAGCACATCTAAAGTGACCTCTCCCAAGACCGTGCTGGATATCAGAAAACTCCAACCTAGGAGACCCACAAGTGTGCACATAATTTCCTTCTCTACCACTGTCCTATCAGACAACATGGTGATAGTTAAGGTTTTAATTAAGTTGATCTTCCAATTTCAACTTAAACTGCAACGTATGTGCCTAATTATTTCCTGACATACCCTTTAAACCACCCAGTTCTCACTGCTCTCACAATGATTACTGCAAAGCAGTAAGACGATAATTGTTCAAGTAAAGTCACCTAAGTTTTTTAAATCAAATCTCTATAACAAATTTACAAAATACATCATCGCTGGCTTCTCAATGTTAATTCTTGTTAATTTCCAGATCGCTGTCCACACTGAGTCCGTGTCACTTTAAATCCAGAATAAAAAGCTGGAAAAAAATTAATGTAAATCAGATGCCGGTGCTCCTCTTTTTCTAATTTCTAAGATTTATTATCATTTGAGAATTAGTAAGAGAAAAAAGAAAAAGGAAATGAAAAGAAAAGGAAAAAAAAGCCTCTCCTAATGGAATAAAGTAAAAAATTTTGACTTGGCAGATAGTGATGTATTCACTTTAATTCCAGTTGGAAACCTTCAGTGACTTCTCTCATTACCACTGGAGTTTTGATTTTTTTTAAAAACAGTCTCTCTTCCCTAGCATTACAAAAAAATATATATATATTCATCACCAAAATACCGCTTACCAATCATGCAGCTATAAACCATTTGTGCCTATCAAATAGATACCAGTTTTAGATGTTTGCTCTGTGGGAAGAGGTTTAGGAATGGGTGCAGGGGTAATTCGTGGAAAAGATAAAGGTCGAAATGTGCTATCAAGCAGAATTTTCACCTTCTTCAGAGCAATGTGCAAATAAATATTCAATGAAGATCAGCTCAAATTTAAGTCATCCAGACATTGAGACCCTGTGCAAGTTATGTTAAGAAGCATGTGACATACAGAAAGTAAAGGATGTTCCCATTGAATCTAAAACTCAAGCCATCATCTACCTGGACCTCTTTAGGGCATTAATCCTGAAACCATTGAGGCTTTTGATCTAGCCAGTTGGGTTACTTATGGGCAAGTAATGACCAAAAAGGAACTTTTCATTTATCATCCTCTGAGTTACAAGGCATGACCCTGTTTTTTTGATTCCCTTATACCAGAGACCATGAGACAGCCAGCTCCACACAGGCCATAAAATACAATAAAAAGAAAAATAATTTTCCTGAGGAAAGGCTAACGAAGGGTACTTTATTCTGTAGACCCTGAGCTGGATCCCTGGGCGGTTTGGCCATCTTAGGACCTAGACATCAGCAACCATTTTAAAGGTGGTTTGAACAAAAGTATACCAAGTGTCATATTTTTTAGCAGGAAAATAAAAACTCAGATTAAGTGTCCTCTGCCAGTCTACTCTGAGAATGCCATCAAGTGAAATCAGAGCTTCCCTAGCTGAAAAATGTTAAAATCATTTCAGGAAAATGAATTTGGTTTCTTTAGACACAAGCATTTTGTGTTTATTATAACTAAATCTCAGGGCCCTAGCTGAGAAGGGGAAAGCCGTTTCATTGGTGGGTCAAAACAAATCTCTCGTTTGCCTCTCTTGAGGCATTTGGCCAGTGCCTGCGAAGTACATTACTTTCCTGGGGGAAAAAGAGACAGCCTTTTCTCGCATGCCAGCTGGGATCATGGGAACGTCCGATGCCAGGAATTTACTACTGTTTCTGGTAACTCTGCTTGTAGTCATTTGAAATGCTGAAGGGTGGGGGAGGAGAAGTCGGGCACCCAGGGAGCTGTCTGTGTTTTATGCCAGTTACACCAGGCACAGAGTATTTGTAAACGCTTTCCGAAGTGGGGATATTTGTATCCTTTGTCAGAATCACAAAGCTCGCTGTGGAGCCTCTGAAAGAGAGCCCGGGGGGTGGGGGGGGTGGGGGGGTGGAATCGCTGACCCTTTGCACCCAGTCAACCCGCACAAAAGGGCAGACTGTGCGGGTGAGCCCAGCACATGGCGAATTTGTTTCTGTTTTCCACGGCCCTGGACTTCCGATCAAGGACATGTCTGTCAGGTGAAGGTTAATTTTGCTGAAGTTTTCCAACACTTCATTTAATACTTGGAAACATGAGCATTTTGAATTTATTCCAGTCCTCCGGGCACCATCCCGATTTCCTTTGCCATGTCACCAAGACTCTGAAGACGGCGCTCTTTCATGATAAAATTCCATTCACATGCTTGACATACCTGAACCTGCAAATGTAAAAGTGATTGTATCTGAATTTGCACTAATGTGTCTGATAGCAGAAGACCTTTATTGGACTCCTCTGTTTAAACTCAGTCATTCAGATGCCACGTACTTCTGCAAGCTTCTTGATCGTTTTCACTGTAAGACTAATTATCTAAGTTTGAATGTATTTCCTTACAGCCCATTAATTTTGCCATCTTTTACCTGGAGATCATTATGATTGCAATAATTCCTTAAAGTTTTCCTCACACAGCTTCTTAAACCAAGTTTTTCTGCTTTTTCTTCTGGTCCTGCTTATAGTATGTGGGAAATCTTTTTTTTTTCCCCTCTGTAATAATTTTGTAAGAAGCCAGTGTATCAACAGCCATTGCGACACAATTCATCTTTTCAGGTCTGGAAGCTGGTAGTGACCAAATGCCACGTATATTCTCCCTGTCAATTGCTATTTTCAGAATTAAATCGTGTTTTTTTCACTTTCAGTTGGTTGGGGTCAACACATTTGGGATTTTTAGAAGGGGGAAAAGGGAGCAATTTGTGTAATACTGCTGTCATATTTGACTACATATTAAAAACAATAAATGATCATTTTGTTTTAATTTCTTAAATTTGCTTACCCTTGTCTTTCAACATATTTTTGTTTCCTTTCCACCATTAGCTTTCGAAAAATTTTACTTATTGTGGAAGAAAATCGGCTTGCAGTGCCCAGAGCTGCAGGCTGAGGACAGGATAGAAAATCTTTGTTACTAAATGTGCCGTAGTGTGAGGCTGAGAACAGCTAGAGTGAACTGTAGAAGAAGAAGGGCCTAGAATGTCATAGCACCCAGATGGAGGCTTGGTCTCTGCCCACAACCCACAGAGCCCACGTGTTGAGTTCTCCTGGATCAGGCAGGTGGGGTTTTCGCTGCCGGTCTACACCCTAGACCTGGAATCAAGTCAAGATGCTTCAGTTCAGCTCTTGTTTCTGTTGCTGGTCTTGGTTCCTGAGCTCTCTGACTTTCCAACACGTCCTGAAATTTCTCTTTTGTTTCATCCCCTTTTTCCAAACTGGAAATGATGGTACCTCTTTCTCAGCTACTGTAGGAAGAACCTCTGAAGGGAGATGCTTAGCATTCCAAACATTCTTTCCCAGTTTCTTAATCCACCACTCCTGGACTATCCTTTTAACAATACCAAGTCTGCACAGGCCCGAACCCCGGGCCAGGAGCTGCCGGGAATTCTGGTCAGTGGTGCTGGATGGCTCTGTGCAACTCAATAATGATTTTTTAAAATCTTAACCTCTGTGTGGATTTTTTTTTTTGGACTGTGTTGATGAAACTTTGAGATCATAGATTAAATTCAGAACTGCCATTTTAAGGGCTTTGAAAAGATCTCTTAATGTGTGATATTTCTTTAATAATGCAATGGAATCATTAAAGAAAACAATGCTGATGACAATCATAAAATGTTTCATTTAGCTGTAGACCCACTTCCTAGGAATCCAGGCCTTCTCCTTTTCCAAGTCACTGTTTTTAAAATCAGAGCCTTCTGACGTGCAGTTAGGATCTTTTTTTCCCCCCTCAAGTTTGACTAACATTTATGAAAAGTCTAACCTGTGCTGTGCAGGGTGCTTGGCCCCAGGGCTATAAAAACAAAAAAAGTAAAGTCTTTGTTTTCAGCTAGCCCCGAGGATAGTAGGGAAGACAGGTATTTAAACAATACAGCAGAGGAAGGACGGAAGTCCCAGGGCAGAGCCAACCACACATCCCTGTGAAGTTACAGAGGGAAGAGTCAGCTTTGTGTGCAAGGGGTTTGGGTGATGCAGGAAAAACGGGTGTGGGGCGTGAGGAGGGCCCTGTCCCAGGCTTCAGCTGAGCCCCTGGGACGTGCCCTGCCAAGTGTGGGTCCTTGGCTTCATGCAGGAAGGAATTCAAGAGTGAGCCACAGTCGAGTAAAGGTAGATTTATTTAGAGATTCATCAAAAGGCAAGAGAAAGGCTACGAGGTGTGGGAGTTGGGTGCTCAGATCAGAGTAAAAGTAGGTACACACTCCATAGACAGAGTGCGGGCTGTCTCTGAAGAGGGACGGAGAGAGAGGTAGTGGCCTCGAGGGGCTGTGTTGCTGGTTTTTAATGGGCTCAGTGGCTTCATACGCTAATAAGTGGAAGGACTCGACTAAGTAGCCTGGGGAAGGGGCTGGGATTTCCAGGAAGCTGGCCATTTCCCACTCTTTGACCTTTTGTGGCTCTAGCCTTGGGACTGCCATGGCGCCTGTGGACGTGTTATTCACCATGTTAATACATTACAATGGGCGTATAATGAAGCTCACAGTCTACTAGAAGTCAAATCTCCCACCATCTTGAGCCTCAGGGCCTACTGGGGGTTGAATCTTTTGCCATTTTAGTGTTAATTGTTGTATTATTGCTTGAATGGCTGTGCCCTGCCCCCTTCCTGTCTCGGGGGTCTTTTGGAGGGCAAGTGATATTTGAGCTTGCTCTTGGATAGTGAGCACGGCTTCACCTGGGACAACACAGTCGCTGAAGTATGAGGTGGTTGCTTGTGCCTGGAGGCAGAGTGGGAGGAGGACAGAGAGAGGGAAAAGGTGACCAGAAACCATTGCCTCAGCTGACGAGTTCCCTGACCCAGGCAGCAGACGTGTTAAGAAATGTCATTTGCATCTGCTTCTCCAAGCTACACGGAGGGCAGTTATAGCTTTTGGAAATTTCAAAAATGCGTCAAAGGCGGAAAATCAATGAGAGTAGCTTAGCGTTTGCAACTCCGGGCCACGTAGGAACCCCAGCCTCTGCCTAGTGATGGGCTTATTATGTTCTTTAAGTTGCTATCATTTTAAAGACACACTGAAATGCACTTGGCCTCCCAGAGTAAATACGCCTCACAAATGCCAATGCCTCTTGATAAATGTTAATTGACCCCTTTGTAATGTGCATTACTCTTAAAGGCTGCAACAAACTTTGCTCAGAGTCTTTGAACTTCTCCCAGATATTCTCCTGACATTTTTTTCTGGTGAACATTACAAACATTTGGGGGTTGCAGAATAACACTGGGCTATTTTTCTCCCGAGATTTCTTTGTACAATTGCAATTTAGATTTCCTTCCAAAAGGGTTCATTGTGGCATGTTCCTTGATAGGATGTGAAGCAAATTTCTCCTGCTGTAGCTTGGCAGCCCGCCTGGAGGATGGGGTGCATAAATTATTCCAAATGCCATAGAACCTTGCATCTTATTTCCTTCTAGAATGTTTTAAATCTGCATCAGTATGCCTTGAACTGAGAGACTGAACAGGCAAAAACACACAGCAAGAAAGACATATGTGACTTGCAAGAAATGAAACATCCCTTTTGTAAAATGATATCATTCCGAATTTAATTAGATGTCATTTTATTGAGGAAATAGATGTTATTTGAGCAAGGCCAGATCTCAGCGGGTTAAACAGTAGTAGAGCAAACAAGAAAGAAGTGGGTTGTTTGAGAGAGAAGTGCAGATGAAGGCATGGGCATCACAGGAGACTCCGCGGTTACACAGGAGACAAAAAATGGTGGCAGAGGCGGTGTGCGTGGGGAGGAGGGGAGCCCCGTGGGCTCTCTCTTGTTTTACTCTGTGTCCTGCGATGAAGCTTTATTGAGGCTCTGGGGCGGCAGTTCCCTGACTTCAGACAGACTGTTGAGGTCAGTTTGAGCTCCTTGACAGAAAACAACAACTGGTAACTGACCCGGCCGTCGGGGCTCAGAGGTGTTGGAAACATGTGGTTCCCGCTAGACCAGGAAGGCAGGTCCAGCCGTGATGGCTTGTTGCCCCCCTTGATAAATGTCAGGCCAGGGTCCCCCTGTCATCGAGGGCTCACAGAGGGGCATCTGCTCTCAGGTTTACCTCTGTTTTCTGACCTCATTTTTCTCTGTCCGCCGATATAAGCTACCAGGCCATGCGATACCTGCATGTGTAGCAGTTAAGGAGACAAACTCTAACATGGCCCACGTGACCTCTCAAAGCCCAGATTTCATCTGTAAAATGACCCTGAAAATAGTACCCCTTTCCTAGGATTATTGTGTCAAATCAGTGAGCTAAAATACTTAGCTTTGGGTTAGACTCATAACGCCCGATAAAAGTTAGTTATGCTAGCATGTTGCCCATGAAAGATGTGTTGATTTGGGTACAAAAGTGTTGTCTTTGTGCTTAAAAAGATACACTTAAGGTAAAAGGCAGAGAGGGACAATTAACTAGAAGAGCAGATGGGGGGGCCCTCTCCCCATTCTGAGATGTTTATCCGGGTAGAAAGGGTGGAGCTTTCAACCTAAGTGCTGAAAAATGAAACATTCAATTAAAAATTTTAAATAAATGAATTAAATAAAAATTAAATGCAACCATAGTGCTCAATATGTTATTAACATTTGCTTATAGAAGCAAAGAGATGCTTGCTCTTTTTGATCTTTGTTCATTTGGGTATTTATGGTTTTCCAGAAAAATCAAGTCAGTCATCTAAGTGCTATTTTTAAAACTATTTTTATATGTCTGTATCTCATTTCTCTGTTGGCAAAATGAGGAAAATATTTCCAACATTTCTCAAAGTTGTTTCCAATATAATTCATGAGAAGCAAAATATTTTATGTCTGAGTAAACACACAGTTTATATTGTTAGCCTAAGTCACGACTCTGGGCTGTGTTTATCCACAGAATACTTCTCATACCACGTGTGTGGGGCTTTTTATTTTTCCTCATACCAACGAGTTCGTCAATTCTCTGGACCCCAAATGGGTGTCCTACAATTCAGTTCAATACTGATACTAACTACTTGGATTTCCTGCAGGCCCCGTAGGTTAAGGGCTCAGTCCCACAAGACCAGCCCCCACATCAGACATCAGTCAAAAGTCCCAGACCACCCACTCTTCTGATCAACCAGCTATAAATCAGGGATTCCTATGACTCAGTAATTTTCTAGGATGCTTACAGAACTCAGGGAAAATGATTTAGTTACTATTATCAATTTATTATAAAGGATGCAACTCAGGATCAGCCAATGGTAGAGACGCATGGGGCAAGGCATGAAGAAGTCCCCTCTCCTCTCAAGATGTGTCACCCTCCCAGCACCTTGAAGTGTTCACCAACCCAGAAGCTCCCCGAACCCCACCATTTAGGGGCTTTTATGAAGATTCCATTACATAAGCAAGAATGATCAGGTGGTTGGCCATTGGGTATTAACTCAATCTTCAGCCCCTCTCCTCCCATTGGAGACCCGAGGGGTGGGGCTGAATCTTCCATCCCTCTAATCATGTCTTGGTCTTCCTGGTGACCAGCCTCCATCCTGGATCTCTCTAGGGCCTGCCTGGTGCTCCTATTTCTCTTATCACTCAGGAAATTCCGAGGGACTTGGGAGATCTGTGTCAAGAACAGGGAAAGAAGTCAAATATGTATTTCTTACTGTGTCCCACAGTACTGTGAGTCAAGAGACCTTTATCAGTCCTCCCCTCCCCTTCTCTGTGACATACGTTCCCCTCTTGCAAAAATAAGCGTGCAAAGACCACCACAGCTAAGGAAGCAACCCAAAGAGACATGTGTTTGTAATGTGACAGCAGGCTCACCCAGGTAGAGCAAACAAAACATTCATCAGCAGATCCT